CACTATACTCCTGAATTTCACATACAACAGATGTATAAATAAAGTAAATAGAAATAAAAAAATTTGATTCGACCAACAAATCAGTGTTAATCCTAATTTGAAAAAAAAATTCGCGTTCATTTTTTTATAAATACTCTTACAGTAATCCCAATTTGAAAAAATAAATTCCCTTTCATTTTTTTATAAATATTCTTACAGTAATCCTAATTTGAAAAAAAAAAATCACTTTCATTTTTTTATAAATACTCTTACAGTAATCCTATATAATTTGAAAATCAAGAAGCAGTGAAAACTTGACAAAAAATTATCTGAATAAATCGAAATGCAATTCAATATTTCTCTTCTCTTTTTGATTATCTTTGCTATCATGGCTTCAGCAAGCCCAATGCATTACAATAATTTGGCGATGCGAGGTACTTCATTTATTATTATATTTACTATTACAATAAATATCATTATTTTTGAAAAAATACTAATTGTTGGCTTTCATTTTATTTTAAATAATAAATAGGCCTGTAAGTATTTTTGTACTATTATTACAGTCAATATCATTGCTTTTGAAAAAATATTAATTATAGGTTTTCATTTTTATTCTAAATAATAAATAGTCAAGTAAGTATTTTGTACTATTGTTACAGTCAATATCATTGTTTTTTTGAAAACATATTAAATGTTGATTTTTGTTTTATCTTAAATAATAAATAGCCTGTAAGTATTCTCATCATTTCACTATTATTACAGTCAATATCATTGTTTTTTTTTGAAAATATTAACTATTGATTTTCATTTTATCTTAAATAATAAATATAGGATGTAAGTATTCTCATCATTTCACTATTATTACAATTAATATCATTTTTTTTTTTGAAATATTAACTATTGATTTCGTTTTACCTTAAATAATAAATATAGGAAGTAAGTATTCTCATCATTTCACTATTATCACAATTAATATCATTTTTTTTTTTGAAATATTAACTGTTGATTTCGTTTTACCTTAAATAATAAATAGTGTGTAAGTATTCTCATCATTTCACTATTATTACAGTCAATATCATTGTTTTTGAAAATATTAACTGTTGATTTTCATTTTATTTTAAATAATAAATATAGGAAGTAAGTATTCTCATTATTCCACGATTGTTACAATCAATATCATTGTTTTTTTTTGAAAATATTAACTATTGATTTCATTTTATCTTTAAATAATAAATATAGGATGTAAGTATTCTCATCATTTCACTATTGTTACAGTCAATATCATTGTTTTGAAACATATTAACTGTTGATTTTTGTTTTATTTTATGTAATAAATAGCCTGTAAGTATTCTCATCATTTCACTATTATTACAGTCAATATCATTGTTTTTTTTGAAAATATTAACTATTGATTTTGTTTTATCTTAAATAATAAATAGTGTGTGAGTATTTTTATCATTTCACTATTATTACAGTCAATATCATTGTTTTTTTGAAAATATTAACTATTGATTTTCATTTTACCTTAAATAATAAATATAGCAAGTAAGTATTCTCATCATTTCACTATTATTACAGTCAATATCATTGTTTTTTTGAAATATTAACTATTGATTTCGTTTTACCTTAAATAATAAATATAGGGAGTAAGTATTCTCATCATTTTACTATTATTACAATTAATATCATTGTTTTTTTGAAAACATACTAACTGTTAATTTTGTTTTACCTTAAATAATAAATAGTGTGTAAGTATTCTCATAATTTCAATATTATTACAGTAAATATCATTGTCTTTTTGAAAACATACTAACTGTTGATTTCATTTTATTTTAAATAATAAATATAGATTGTAAGTATTCTCATCATTTCACTATTGTTACAGTCAATATCATGAAAATACTAACTATTGATTTTCATTTTACCTTAAATAATAATTATAGGAAGTAAGTATTCTCATCATTTCACTATTATTACAATTAATATCATTGTTTTTGAAAACATATTAACTGTTGATTTTTGTTTTATCTTAAATAATAAATAGTGTGTGAGTATTTTTATCATTTCGCTATTATTACAGTCAATATCATTGTTTTTGAAAACATACTAACTGTTGATTTCGTTTTATCTTAAATAATAAATAGTGTGTGAGTATTTTTATCATTCCACTATTATTACAGTCAATATCATTGTTTTTTTTTGAAAATATTAACTGTTGTTTTTTGTTTTATTTTATGTAATAAATAGGGCAAGTATTTTTATTTTTTACTATTATTACAGCTTGAAAAATATTAACTGTTTGATTTTCAATTTATTTTAAATAAATAAATAGGCAAGTATTCTCATCATTTATCATTATTACAGTTAATTGTTTTGAAAAAGATACTAACTGTTGTTTGATTTTCATTCTATTATTTTAAATAGAAGATAGCAATTTGGCTCATTGATAACTTCATTTAACTGTTGATTTATTTTCATTTCATTTTATGTAATAAATAGGGCAAGTATTTTTATTTTTTACTATTATTACAGCTTGAAAAATATTAACTGTTTGATTTTCAATTTATTTTAAATAATAAATAGCAAGTATTCTCATCATTTACCATTATTACAGTCAATTGTTTTGAAAAAAATATTAACTTTCATTTTGTTTTAAATAGAAAATAGCTCTTTGGCTCTTTGATAACTTCCTTTATCTCTTTAACTTTTTTTACTTTCATATTATATTTATCTTTATTTTTTATTGTTAGTTATAATTTTTACATTGCTTTAAGATTCATGCAAACTATATATTATAACATAGGAAGCAAACATAAATAAAACAGTTCATACACAATAAGTGTTTATTATAATTTGAAAAGATTTATGTGTCAATTAAAGTTACATCTGATAAAAGAGTTAAATAGTGTGATACAGTGCGGATCATCTATACTCAAAAATTAAAATATTATGTGATCCACACATTGGATTTTTAAAAACCACCATCGTTCAATTCAGCTTTAAAAAAGGAGTCTATCAATCTTTAAAAAAAAATTTTGTCTCAGATTTTCTTTTCATAGATTTTTTAAATTTGAAAGTTAAATAATTTCTGTGTTACAATATTAAATCTCACGACCAAAATTATTTACAGTAGTCAAAATTGCTGTATTAATATAATAATAATGGCAGCCAATTACTATTACAGAATTATGTTGACCAAAATTATTTATGGAGCTGAAATTATTTACAAATTACGGGTTTTATACTTTCTTGTTGTAATTAATTACAGATTTTTAGAATTGTAATCCTGTAATTATTACGGAATTATGGTGGCAACTATAATTTCATGCTCAAAACATTAATTAATTTCTACTTAAATTAAGTGTGTTTTGGACATGAAATAAGTATGTTTAAGTGCGCAAACTTTGCATAGTGTGTATGGTGGCATCCAGCCTGGTAGTTTTGTCCAAAGCCTTCCAACATGTGCGAAACCTCCCTGTGGAAAAAAAATTCCATAGTTATGAGTCGTGTCAATAGCATTGCATTGATTGCATTGCATGGTGGTGACAGGAAAGTTTTAATTACACCTGTGATCAACATCAAATTTATTATTCACAAGCAACCATAATTGATAATCAGGAAAAGTAATTTATTATTGTGAACCCCAGAGATCTGGGTAGACAGGCATTATTTAAAGTTTTGTTTATGCATGGCCTTGGTATCATTACCGCTTGGGTGATGTAATTGTTTGTTATATCAATGATGATGTCAAATGTATTGAATAATAATCATGACCATCAGAATATTTGATGTATGGAGGTATTCACATACAAGGAAATGTTTAAATTGTTAAGTCATGTTTGTTTTATTAAAGATGTATGATTAATTGTACAGTGCAGATCATCTATACTCAAAAGTTAAAATTTTTGAAATATTATGTGATCCACACATTGGATTTTAAAAAACTCGCCACCATTCAATTCAGCTTTAAAAGGGGAGTCTATTATCTAAAAAAAAAATTTGTCTCGAATTTTCTTTTCATAGATTTTTTAAATTTGAAAGTTATGCTCAGAAGTGCAACAATAATTTTTGTGTTATATACAATATTTTGAATCTCACGACCAAATCTGGTAATGATTTTCTTTTAATGTAATATGTTCGCTAAACTTTCTTGTTGTAAAGAACTTTAAAAAAAAGGAAATAAATAAGTCAAATAAATCAAATGTAATTTGTAGAAAATATTCTATGAAAAAAAGTTGTTACACGAAATTTACCTAGTCTCAATTTCTTAAGTGTATAACAAAATTCGGAATTTTCAAAATGCTAAGGCTCAGCAAATTTTCAGTTTAAGAAAAACCAGCCGATAAGTTTTGAAGCTTGAGTCATGAACAATAAAACTTATCGGTTAAGCTTTTTAAAATGATATAATTTTTTTTTGTTTTAGTATTTTGAAGTTGATCAATTGTTACTATAAGCATTAATGATTATAGATGATCTGCCCGTACCTACATTCACAAATAATTTTTTTAATTGAGTCTGCTTAAATAAATTACTATGGTTTTGTGATGTTGTCGCTGCTTAGAATATGCATTAAAAAGAAATACGATTAAAAAAAAAGTCAGTTTAAACAAAAAATGATAGGTATATTTGAATTTTGGGTATTTTTCAAATTTTTTGGGTATAATTTTCTAAAAAAAGTGGGCAGAGAAAAGGTGATCTTCAAATATACCATCTACTAAGATTGTTCGGGGTCCCGTTTAGGCATTTTAACAAAAAAAAAAAAGGAATACATTTGAATTAAAAAATTGTTAAAAATCGCATTCCATAAAAGGAATGATTTTCATAGAAAAATTTCACTAGTTGGCGCAGCATTTGATGATTGGCACCATAAAACTATTACATCAAATTCGCTTCCATTAAGTCAAAAATGACATAAGTAAAAACACTTGATGTGAGTAAAATTGCTTTAAAGGCTAATAAAATATAAAAACATAAATTTATATATTCAATTTTTTATTTTTATATTTTTCTTGTGTATCTATTTAAGCTCTTGTTTTTCTCTAAAAAAAAAAAAGAATTTGAATTAGCATACACAACAACAACAACAACAATAACAACATTATTATAAACCACTTACTTCGACAATTGATGTAGCATCTCTAAATCTTGCAATAAACAAAACATTAGCATTATTAAATAATTCTTCTTTTAATGATATCACAATAAATTGTGATCCTTTAAATCTAGTTCGTAACAGCTGTCCAATGTTTTGTGTATGTGATAAATCAAGAGCTGCATCCACTTCATCAAGAATGTACATTGGTGCTGGTTTAAATTGTAATAAAGCCAAAATCAATGATAATGCAATAAGTGATCTAAAATAATGATTTATATTTATTAATTAATATATGCATATATATTTTAATTGATTCATTATAAAAAATTAACATTACCTTTGTCCACCACTTAATTCATTTAAACCCTCTTTCCATACTGAGCCAAGTTGTACTTTAACTTCTAAACCATCTTTTAATTCTTTATTTGCTAGTGGTTGAAGTTTTGCAAAATTGTTTGGCAACAATTCACTGAAAATTGTCCCAAAATCACTAAAATTTATATAATGATATATTATTAAACAAAATACATACACTATAAATATATGTAAAATTGTAACTTATGCATTAACTTTTTCCCAGGTTTTTGATACTGCATCATTTTTATATTTATCAAGTTCAACAATAGTATTCTCAATTTTTTTCTTATCTTTTTGTACAGTTGTCAACATTTTTTTTAAAGTAGCTTCATCTTGTTCCACCCTTATAAATAATAAAATTTGGACCTTTTATAAATCTAATATCTTATATTTTTTAACTGAAAAAAAAAATAACATACCCTTCATTACTTTAGCATTGATTTTTTTTCATATACTATTGTGTTTTTCTTGTAATTTTTTTACACTCATTTGGACTATTATTCTCAAAATCATACAGAGAATTTACTTCACCAAAATGACTAGAAAAATTTTTAAATCCGTTAATGAAAAACCACTTTTTCACTATAATAACAACAACAACAATAATAAACCCACTGCTTTTGATGCATAATCCAATCATTTTCTCTTTCCATTTGCTGAACAATTTGTTGAGACATTCCCTTTTCTTGAAGTACTTTGTCAACTTCATGATTAAGGTTTGTAATTTCCAATTGTATGTTGTTTAATTGATTAGTTTTGGCCTTAAATGCATTTTGAAGTTCTCCAAGTTCTTCATCTAAAGCAGATAACTTTTCTCTTTCCTTCTCTAACTCAATTAAAGCATTATCATACATTTCCTAAAAAATATAGGCATGTATTCTGAATTTAATTAAACATAATTATAAACATAATACACTTTTAAAATTTTCAGAATAGTATCAATGATAAACCTTATTTGTTGTCATTTCTGTTCTCATTGAATCAGCTTCATTCTCTAATTGCTTAATGTTATTATCATAATTTTTCTATTTTTTTGTTTGCATTTTGTAAATCCTCTTCAAGTTGCTCTAAACAATTATATAATGACAAATCCCATTTAATCATTCTATTTTTTAATACATTCCTTTATTGTAATAAAATTTTTATAACTTACTAATTTCTATTTTTAAAGTTTGCACTTTTTGTTGCATATCTTTAACATATGCATTCAATTCTGGTAATTCAGTTTTCCCTTTGGATACCATCCTCTTTTTGTTTTTTTTTTAAAAAAAATTAAAACAAAGTAAATAAATAATAACAAAAACCAATTGATTTAAAATCTACCATAATATCTTCTATTTTTGAATCATGGTTATCATTAAGCTCTCTCATTTCATCTTCAATTCTTTGGCAATCTTGTAATGCACTATGATGTTTATTTTGCGAAGTTACAATTATAGCCTCTTGCTCATGAATTTGAGATTTTATGTTATCAACAATTTGAATAATCTAACAATAATAATCTTTTTTAAAAATTTAAACAATTATTCATTCAGATAATTAATAATTATATATACCTGTGAGTTACTCCTTTGTTTTATCTGTTATTCCAATAATGTAATTGCATGTGATTTCAATTCTAATTCTTTCTTTATTTGATTATATTTATTCATAATAGTTTGTGAGTTTCTTAATTCTGAATTTAAACTTTGTAAAACTTGCTTATGAGACTTCAATTCTTTTTTTATATCTTTAAGAGTTTGCATTTTTGTGAGAATCCCAGCTGAGGGGGGGGGGGGTTAGATCTGCCTTGAAGAGTACTGGATGAATCGTAAACATCTCCATCCAAAGTAACAGATTTAGTATGGACATTCCTGTTAAACGTGACTCATTTTGCTGTTTCAGCATCCATGCAAATCAATGTATTGCCAAAAACATATTCCATCGCTGCTTTTACTTCATTAGCATAACATATCAAGTTTAATGCCAAATCTACTTTGTCTGGAGAAATTTGTTTAGAAACTGCAAGTTTCTATTACAAAAATAAAAATAATTAATAAATAATTACATAAATTACATTATCCTTTCCTCTTTTACCTCAGATGACATTTTAGATACTTGGATTTGGTTTAGTGGAATGATAGTCACACATCTTTTAAGTTGACCTCTTTCTAAAAGTTATGTACCAACATTTTCATTATCTACAACAACCTGAAATTTAATAAATAAACAAATGTTATTTTTTTTTACATTAAAACAAAGCAATACCACTATCTATATGACAATAAATAAATAAATATTGTTGTACATTATATAATCTTCCACCAGCACAAATTTCTAAAGTGGTTGAACATTCAGCATATTTTGAATCTAAAGTAATCAATTCAACAACTAATCCTTTAACTTTATTTCTATTAAAATTTGATGTAGGGTCTTTATAAGTAAACTGAGTATTTCCTAATTGACTGGAAATATATTCATATTTCTAACAAAAATAAATAATTAAAAAAAATTACATATGTGCAAAAATAATTTTACTAAAAAATATTAAAAATAGGAAACACAAACATCTGTTAGTTCTTGTATCTTGGATTCTTCAAAGGACTTTTCATGCAATAAATCTTCTTCTCTACTTGCATTCCAATCAATTAGTGATAAAGCTATTTGTAACTGTTGTGCTTCCAATCTTGAAGACTCTAAATCAGATAAAATACCTGTACTATCTCTTGCAGCTTTGGTAGCTAATGGTTCTTTTTCTTTTAACTCTTTTTTAAGATGAGGAATTTTTAATTTGGCTTGTTCAATTTCAGTTAGTGCCTGAGTTGAATTACTTTTAACCTCTAGTAACAATAATAAAATATATCTTGAGCAATTTTTTTTATCCTCATATAAGTCATATATAAATAAATATGTACCTTGAAGTTGTTCCATATACCCATTTTCCTGACCTTCTTGAGCAGAAACACCAGTTGACAAAGTTTGTAAAAGTTCTTCAGATTTACAAACTTGTTTGTTTTTTTGATCATGGATTTTTTTGCCTCTTCATAATGAGTTTCATGCATTTTGTACTCTTGAGTTTTTTATATCAAACCTTGTTCTATCTATATAGAAAAGATTATTTATTTAATTGATTATACCCTAGTGAACTTTACTGAAAGAATTAGCAGTAGTTTTTTTTGAGAATCAAAAAAATTTTGGTTATTTGTTTATTAATTTACAAATACCTCTAATCTATCATCCAAGCATATCTCTTTATTGTTTGATTCTTCTTGAATGGAAGTTTTATTAAGTTCATATTTTGTATTAATTCTGACCATTTGATTAGAATATTCAGTTACATTATTTTCCAATTCTTGTAATCTACCACTGTTAGCTCTTTCCTATAAAACTCTATTGATTAATAATAATAATAATCATAATAATAATATAAAAGTATTGGAGTGAAAAAGAAGAATATATATATAGTTAATAAAAATTATACCTTTTCTCTTTTTAAAGATGTTTGTCTGATATCATTTTCTAAAAACTTGAGTTCCTCCTTAAGTTCTTCAATAATTTCCTTCTAAATCATTTATTCTGTTTTTGTTGTTCTCAATAATAGTATCAGATCTATCAAGCTTTTCCTTAATTATATGAAAAATTTAGTTAAATAATTAAATAAATATATACATGTATAAAATTTCATATTAATATTGCAGGAAAAGAGCCATAATAATACTTGATTTTGTGTATACTCATATGCAATAATTAATCAACTTAGATGTTCAATGTCAACTTCTATTTTTTTGGAATTCAAGATAAGAATTCTTTTTAGCTCTTAGTTTTTCCAATTTTGGTTCAATCACCTCCCTAAGTATCTAAATGCACGTTAAAGAAGAATTATTCATATAAATTGTGAATATTTTATTATTGACTAAAAATATTTATGTACCTGAGTAATTTCTTGAACTTTTTTCTCTTTTTTTTTTCAATAGTACTCAATGCTCTTTTCTTTCTCTCTTCAAACATTCTAGTGCCAGCAGCTTCTTCAATCATGCTCAAGATTTCAAGTGGTTTCATGTTTAAAACCTTTGTGATTTTACCTTGCATAATTAAAAAATGTGGATTATTTATGTTAAGTTGAACTGATTCAAATAAATTTGCAACTTGTTTTTGCTGGGCTCAATGACCATTTACAATGTATTTGCTTTGACAATTCATAATCTATTTTATTAGAAGTTTTATTAATATATTTATATAAAGGTTATATTAACTGATAGATTTATAAACTTATTATGCACTTACTTGTCTTGTCACACTTATTTGACTATATTGTTCAAACCCAATAGGGCTATTTTCTCCATCTTCATTATTAAACACAATAGTAACTGAAGCTTTAGTAACACCTGCCTGTCCACATTTATATATCAAGTCTTGTAAACTATTTGCTCTAACCTAAAGAGCAAGACAAAATAAGGTATAACTAATTGTCTAATTAAGTAACAATATTTTAAATTTACCTTTGACAAGTTTGTGAGCCCCAAGACAAAACAAATGGCGTCCAATATATTTGATTGTCCTGAACTGTTAAGACCTGTAATGGCATTAAATTCAGGATCCCAGCCAGTAATATGGGTTATGAGTTGCATATAATTTGAAACCATCAATAATTAGTTCCTCTATTTTCATTTTTTAATTTCATAATTTATTTTATTACTATTAACGCGACAACACATTTTTATTTATCTTTAAATCTAAATTAATTAAATGATCAACAGGATGACATAAAAAATTAAGTGTCTTCTGCAAAGTATTGTTCTTCAGCAAAATAAGATGTAAGAACTGTACGTTCAGCAAACTTTCTTCCTGCAAGTGCTCGAAGTGCTATACCAGCTGCCTCTGCAGAATCGAATCTTACAAAAATCTTTAATAAATAAATAAATGTAATTAGAATTTATTTGGTCAATTGATTAAATTATATAAAAATAAATGATATACCTTGCCAACACCAGTAGTTGATTGACCTGGTCTAGGAATTTTCATATCAATGATGCAACCAAATTTAGAACATTCTTCTCTAACATCCTCAACTATATCTATTTTATTATAATAATATTTTGTTTGATTATTATGAAGAAATGAAAAGCAGCATTTAATT